TGGCTAAATTTTTGGTCATTTGTTCTTCTATTTTTTTAAGCCTTCCATTTAGCTTAATTCAAGACATAAAATTTACTGGAAGTCAGACTTAATTAATGCTTTAGGTCGGCCAAATTTGGGAGGAAAATGATAAATTTTTGTCCTCCAAGTTTCTAGAGTTTTCTAGGGCTTATTCTTTCCTAAATCCTCCTTTTATTCAAATAATAATTTCTAACCCTTTCCTTTCAGTTTTTAGGACTGAATTTTGACCTTTAACATTCCTAAATAATGTAATTTGGATTATTAGACTTTCAATTTTATGCAATTGAGTCCTTAATTTTATACAATTTAATCCCTACTTTTAAAATTCCATTTCATACTCTTCAAAAATCCAATTTATTTCCATAATAAATTCAAATATTTATGAAGGGATTTTATTGTAATGTTTCATAATTTTTGGACCTCATTTGGGCCTCTAAATTAATTATTTAGTATAAAAATTACACTTTTTCCTATTAAAAATATTCTCCATACTTAATAAAATTAATTTAAATTTTCTAGGCACTTTCACACATCCTATATGATTATTCTATGGTCTAAAAAAAATTCCTCATACTCTTAAGGTGCTTCATTAAATTCTTTACCTCTAAAAACACTATTCCAACATGTAAATATTCAAATAAAATATTTATAGCATATAATAAAATTCACACAAGCACATAAAATAATTCAATACCCCTCTAATAATTATTCTAAGCACACAAACTATTTTTCATTCATAAACAACATGCTTTAATTAATTATTTCATGTAAAAACTACTATTCATGCACCGTAAAATCAATAAAATATCCTTTAAGCATAGAAAAACTATTTTAACTCGTTATATATATTCGTTGAAGTTCCAAAGGATTATTTCACACCCTTAAAGTATGTTTCCCTTGTGTTTAATATTAAATTTTTATTTAATTTCAGCTTCAACAGTACTCGGTTATTACATGTACAATCGGTCATTAGACTTGAAGTCATTATGATTATCTCATTAGAGGATTTATGCATTTTAACACTCATTTTGATGGATCTAGTAAAGAATTGCACTTGGACGATTCGTTAGGTGCACTAGGAATCTAATAGAGATAGATGTATGACTAAAATAGGACATGTCATTCCTTGTATATTAAATGAGTTATCACATTGCACTTTGATGAATGTCCGCTCAAGAAATCAGTAGCCACGTAATAAAGCATAGCTGATTTACTATAAGAGTTAAAATATTTGAGAATCGAAAAAAATTTGTATGATCATAATCGAACAAGACTTGTAACCAAGTTCGAGATCACAATGTAATAAGTTGATATGAGGACTCGAATTGTATGGTAACCATGCTTCGAAAGGCAATAATGAATTAATTAATCCTCCTAGAAAATTGGGTAATCATGATGCTTTACTAGAGGTCAATCTTGATTTAAGTATCAAGAGATAAAAAATGAGTCTTTTGTTCTTAATACATTACCAATATATTTAGGAGCTTATTGAGTCACATATATAAGTTTAAGTATTCACATGATTAAAGAGAAGCAAAGATATTGAAACAAGTTTTCAATTCCGAAAGTTTCCTAAAATGAAAAGTTTCTTATTTTAAAAATCAGTTTCTTAATTTGGAAGTAAATAACCTAAAATGGAAATGAGTTCTCTAATTTAGGTTAAAGGGTATTTTGGAAAATGATTTTCTAATGTGGGCCGCCTAAAATTAACTAAGATTATTTATTTGGATAGTCCAAATAAATTAATCGAGCCATAATGGTTTTGACCCAATAGGTTTAATTAAAAGCCTTAAGATAGTTTGATGGGAGGATAAATATTAAAATTATTGGATAAGGATGAATATTTTAAAGATAAAGATCAAAATTTCACATGTAAAATAACTCCTAATCCTCCTCCTAATCCTTGGAGGATTAGGAAGCAATAACCTAGAGCTCTTAAGGGGCTTATTGTCGCTCCTTCTTGTCCACAGAGGACAAGGAATTCTCTCTTATAAATATATGGGAGAGAGAGATGCGGCATACAAGAAAAGAGAGAGAGAGAGAGAGAATTTGGCTAAAAAAGAAAAGGGGTTAGGGCACACGACCGGGAAAGGAAAAAGGAAAAAAATAGTTTTATCCTAAAAGCCCTAGCATGCCACTTTCTCTTCCTCTCTTTAAGGTTATCACAAAAATTACTCGGATTAGATTTCTATAAGAAATACTATACAAATTAGAAAAGGTGGAGCTAGTACTCTATCAATTTTGAGTGCTTTTTTATGGGGGCTTGGATTGTGTAGATCATTAATAGAGGCTAGACACTTGGATAACTTTTCCGCTAAAGAATTCGGATCTACGTTACAAAAAACTATTCATTGCTTTAATTCATACATATATAGTTAGTTAATTCAACGACATGATCTTAGACTCTTTAGATGGAGAAATGTTTTTGTTTATTCCGCACCTCCATAGGATGCATGATTCTTTATGCCTAAATGAAAAGAGCAATCCAAGCGAAATTATGCTCTTTTATAAATGAGTAGTTTTTGAATTCATAGTTAAAACACCTAAAGATGTTAATCCAATAAGATACAAATAGGTATTTATGAAAAAAAATTAGAAATATGATATTATGAGATATAAATCAATATTTGTAACATAAGGATTGAAAGAGTGATGCAATTTATTCAATTATTTATGCATCTTTTAATGGTTCATAATCCTTTCCAATTCTCTTTCTAATCTTGAAGCCTATAAATAGGCTCAATTATTCATTAGTTGTGTAAAAGGATTTTGTAAAGATTGAGAGATTATTTGGATTTGTTATCTCTTATATTCATTTTATCTTATAATGAATTTATTTTTCTATCATTGTTTCTTCAATTCTATTATTGTTACCATATATATATATATTTCAAGGTGACTTTCTCTAAGTTTACAACAAAACAAATGCTTTCAAATGATTGGGATTTATGTTCGAATCGACCACCGATTTGCTAGAAAGAGGTAAGATTGTTTAGGTATCCGAAATTCGGTTCTAACATACAAGTGGTGGAGTGTATCGATTGTGATAAGTTTAAGGTTCCATTTAAAAAGCCTACCGGGAGCTCGGCCCAAAACCTTACACCACACACTTAAACTTCGCATGCTATTGCATTTAGGGATATCAACGAAGTGGGCTTGGGACACGTTATGAATAAATATTAATTTAATATAAATAATTTAATTTTATTATAACTCCTTAACACAATTAAACATAAATAATTTAGACAATAAGTTTATTTTAAAATATCATTTTTTTCAAAAAATATACATCATAAAAAATAAAAAATAATATATATAAATTTAGATTTGGATTCACGCACGATATAGAGGTACATTTCTCATTCTTATTATCATTTATTTATTGAGAAAAATTATATAAAAAAAACTAAAAGAAGTGAAGGTGAGACTATTCACTTACCGTAGTTACTCACCTAATGTCTCTATTCATATATTTCTTTGTTGCTTCTTGGTCCCTCTTTTTTTGAGAAATAAATTAATTAGTCCCTTTGGTTTGAAAACTAATTTTTTTTTATCCTTTTTACCATTTTACTATTTTTTTTAAAAAAATAGAAAAAACAAAAAAATAATTTTTTGAGAAATAAATTAATTAGTCCTTTTGGTTTGAAAACTAATTTTTTTTATCCTTTTTAACATTTTGCTATTTTTTTTAAGAAATAGAAAAAAAGTAAAATATGAAAAAAGACATTTTATTTTTTTGAAGAAAATTATCTCATCCAATCGAAGTATCTTAGTATTGTATAAATAGACCATGAAATCCTATGTTAGGTTATTTTAGTGATCCTTATTCATTCTCGTGTAATTATAGATATTAATATGGGTGAAAAAAGAAAGGAGAAAAATAAAAATAAATGAAGCAAAGAGAGGTAGAGATGGTTTTTTAGATAATGAATTGGAAAGAGAGAGGTGCAAATAAATTTCAATGATTCATAAAAGTGATAACTAGAGACCTCATTTTTTTTTTTTTTAGGACCACCATGTAGAATTAAGAAAATGGTAAATTGGAAGATTAAAAAAAAAAATGTTCTTAGAAAAAAAAAGTAAAATCTGAAAAAAGACATTTTATAAAATAAAAAAATAAATTATTCGTGATTGATACCGATTAAAAAATTAAAAAAATTTATTTTTGAAACCAAAAGAATTAATTAATTAATTTCTCAAAATGAGGTGAACTAATTTATAATCTAATTTGCAATTCAAGAATCTCTTTCTCCATAAATTAAGAATTTATGGAAACCAAAATTTTAATAATTTTTATTATAATTTATTGATTTTAATATATTCCATACAGACTTAGATGATTTTTTTCTTAAAAAAAATTTTGTTTATACTATATATTCGAATTTACTCGAAAATGATAATATATATATATATATTAAAAATTAATTATGTATTTGCATATATAATATTAATTATTTATTCCTTTCTATGTTTTAAAATCAATATTTTTTAAATAAAATAACTGAAATATTGTTTTAGAAGAACCTTTTAATTATGCAAATAAAATTTTTAATACCAATATTATTGACTATTTTGTTAATAAATATATATAAATTAAATGATTTTGCTCAACAAATAGATTTAATTTACATTAATTATGAGAAACAAGATTTTTATTTTTTCTATATTATATGAATTATTGACTTTATGTATATAACAGATATCCAATTGTAGCGGAGTACGGATATCTAACTAGTATTCTTTATACTCGCTTCTATCGGATTGAGGTTTTATACGATACCCGTTCTTACGTGCCGTCCCCGCTCGCGAGGCCTTCATTCTCTAAAACGACTTCGTTTGTAAACATCTCGTCACTTTGTAAACACTTGAAAGCTGAAAACGATCACCAGACGCATTGTGAAATATTGGCTGCTAATATTACTTAGACAATAATCCATACAGAAAGTAGAAGAAAGATCGAGCTAAAATCCAAAGCAGAAATGGCAGGGAGATTGAGCAACGTGGCTTCACGGATCATGGGAGGAAGCGGCGTCGTTAGCCGCTCTGTCACCTCCTCTCTTCGCCTCCGTTCCGGCATGGGCCTCCCCGTCGGCAAACACATCGTCCCCGACAAACCCGTCAGTATACATACATTTTTAACTCTTTCAATTTTTTTTTTGAAATATCGAAACAAAAATTTCAAGTTCATAAAAAAATTCATTTGGGGTTTTTATTCTTTCAGCTTTCCGTGAATGATGAGCTGGTATGGGACAATGGGACTGCGTTTCCAGAACCTTGCATAGATCGAATTGCCGATACTGTTGGAAAGGTAATAATTGCCTATTTATTTTATATTATAAGTTGTAGATTTCAATTTCTTGATTTTCCTTTTCTATTGGGATTCTTCGATGGTAACAGTACGAGGCATTGGCTTGGTTATGTGGAGGTTTGGGATTTTTCGCGAGTCTCGGATTGTTAGTTGTGTGGAATGATAAAGCTTCTACGATTCCATTTGTAAGTTAAATAACTTCAATTTTGGTTAATAGGGTTTTGATTTCTTTTTTCATTTCGGTTTAAATATTTTATTTGCTTACTTGACTGGAATCGGCATTTTTTTTGGTATTTTGGTATCAATTGTTTTTTTTTTTTTTTTTTTTAATGTGTTTATTAAGTGAAGAAACACGTTGCCTTTTGAGTCGAATGGTGGGTTTTGCTTCAATTCAAACTTTTTTTCGCCCCCTTAATGCTATCGTAGAGGATGAATCTGTTTTTGGTCTTGGAGTTTCCTGGAGGAAGCTGCATGCAACTTTATGGACTGATTTTTTGAATTTGTGGCTTGATTCGTACGTTAGCTAACCTTTTCCATTTGAATTTGGTTCAAATTTTAGTGCAATTACAAGAAAGGAGATGTGCTGTCTTTGTAACTTCATTTTCGTTGTTATATTAGATATGAGCTACACTTATGATGATGTTAAGAAACTGATAATAACACCAACTATTATTAAGTTAAGCTGTCAAGCTTGTATAAAGAGACATCAGTACTTGGCTGCAGTGCAAATATTAGTTGAAGAGACAAAACCTTGATCTCCTTGGAAGTGAATTTTGACCTGACTAAATTACTAGTTAGGGCATGATACAGTTCTGAATGTAAGGAATGATGCAATATAAATCACCTTCAAACTTAAGTAACGATGCAATATAAATCACCTTCAAACTTTCTTGCAAAATTAATGATCATCAAAGGAGGAAGGTTGGTTTTAAGACCTAGTCGGTTATAAAGATTCTCTATCGTAATTTGGGGATTGAAATGTTATTCTGGGATTGAAATGTTATTCTACTGTATTACAAAGAAAATTGCTTGGTACGGGTCAGGATAGTCTTGGGTGTTTTGAATGTCAATAAGATTAGCTATGGTATTTGAATGGAATTGGTATTTATTGCAATGCTGATGTCAACGTAGGAAGTGTGTTCTTGTTATTGGGTTTTGTGATGTGAAAACACATTGCTTTTTTGAGTTGAAAAATGTTGTATTATGACATCTACTTGAATTCAACTTTGTTTTCATGGCATCATAGATGACATGTCAGTGGGTCTTAGAAGCTTTTGGATGAAGATTTATCAACTTCACAAGCTCATTTTGTTTAAATCAACCTTTTCCAAGTGTATTGTTTTTAACATTGTTTTTGGTGAAAGCTTTTCTGTAATTTGTGACAGCATTTTTATTGTTACATTGGATGGGAGCTAGGTGGTAGGTGCTTAAGAAGCTGGCGATCATGTTAAAATTATTAAGTTGAGCTCTTGAACTTGTATTACCATTTTTGTTTTTATAATACTCAGCTTCAATGCATAAAATATTGAAAGAGTTAAAACCTTTGTCTGTCTGGGATGAATCTTTGAACTAACTAGATTACAAGTTTGGACAAAACAGATACTGAACTTAGGATTCAGATGATGATGTGATAGCAAATGACTGATTCCTCCGATTACCAATATGGTCTTCTTGCAAAAATTAATCATGGGAGTTGATTTCTTCTTCTAGTTTTAGGAAGAAAATTCTTCAGTGAGAATGTGATGTCCACGCTCCAAATCTAAAGCCTCACCCTTAACAGCAAACCATAGCTTTCCTTTAATGTATCTGTCTTGGTGTATCATAAAAGCTTTATAGATGTTCTGATATTGATGATAAACTTAAAAAGTTCCATATCACTTTATGATGTTCCGTCCCTTATTTTTTGCTTTCTTCCCCACCTTTATCCAAGCACAGCCACGGTAGATTACTGCTCAGCTCAGCTCAACTAAGCCACAGGGATCAAGGAATCAATTTTTGAAGTGTACTACATGATGAACATAGTTAATCTATTTCCCACTCAGTGCTCAATCACCCCTTCAATTTAGGATATGGTTTCAAATATTGTTTGAAATGCTGTAGTTTTCTGTTGATCTGAATTTCCTGTCTTAAGCATGGAATACAGTAGAACTCATAAACTTGCTGGAACTTCTTGTTCTAACTGCTAGTCATTCTTCGCACTCATACTGCTAGATGACACTTAAAATCCTTGTGCATTTCTTTACGGAAACCTTGTGTTTGTTTGTTGTCACTGATTCCAGAAGGCAAAGGTTTTTCTATCAAGCAAGTCAATATGCCTTCTGTTGGATATATGAAAAATATCTATTCTGACCTCATTAATATTGCACGTTATTTTTGTTAAAGAACAAATGGAGCTCTCAGACAAAAACTTTCTATCCTTCTAGGAACTGTGAATCATAAAACACGATCACCTCACATGATATAGGTTCTTTCAGGTGAGATTCAATGCAAAACTCAATCAGAGCAGTTTAATATCACTGGTATAGGTATACCTAGCCTGGATAATTCAAACCCATGTATTAGAGTGGAAATTCAACCTGATCACCTCCTTAGGAAGTTAAAACCAATTTCATGATATGTTTTTTCAAATGTACTGCCCTTGAGAATTATAGGGAAAGGTTGGCCAAAATTATTTGTGATGCTCCCTTAAAGTTTCTAATGGGTTAGCATTATGCAAAAGCTAATTATTCTTGAGAGATAACAACTGTAAGATTAATGATATTGATCAAACATAAAAGTGTTTGCCTCAGAATTTTGAAGGTCCTCACAAATTTTGAGAGTATCGGTACGCCCCATTTCATTTTTGCAGTCTGATGCCTTTTATCTTGTCTCTCAATAATGATTCTGTATTTATAGTTTATGACCATGTTATACTTTTGCCTTGTGAATAACCCTGCTATCTTTTTGTCAAGTATCATTTTATCTGATCAGCTGCATGTGCTTTCTTTCTTTCTTCTTGTTGCTTCTTGGCATTTGTTGTATATAGAGATTTTTATGTTTAACATTTTACGGTATGCAGTTGTGGTTTTTCTGCACACTCGTGCACGCAATGTTTTTCTTATTCAGCACTTAACATTTCTGATGCTTGCACACGCACACACACACACGCACAAAAAACATTTTTCTTGTTCCACACTTAACATTTCTGATGCTGACAACAACATTTTTCTTGTTTTTTTTTTTTTGAGAAGACACCGAAGGTGTATCCTTATGACAACCTGAAGGTGGAGCTTGGTGGAGAACCTTAGGTTTGATCTTGGAGTGATTGTATCCTTATTGTTCTTCTCATGGCCGTCCTCTTTTGTTCATCACTTGGCCTTTGTGAATCTGCAATGGTTAGAAATAATGGCTGCAACTGAAATTAACATTAAACAAACAGCCTGATAGGTTTCTCAAAGCTGGTTCTCAAACAAGATGGTGTTCCTTTTTTCAGAATCATTTTTTATGGTTGTAGTAAAATTGGTTTGTTTAAAATATGGATGACAATCTCAACCATAAGCATATGCAGTTTATCTCCTCTCTTGTTTTATTCTGCACCATTTGATCATATAGTGGATTTGTTAGCCTTTTATTTTATTTTTTATGGATGCAATTTATTTTTGTCCGGAGAAAATAAATAAGAGAAATGCTAGCAATATTTTCTTTAGTATTTTTTTTTTCTAACACTTGCTCAATAGAAGTATTCACGTCAAACAAGAAGAATTATCCTTCAGTATTAGGAAGCCAAAAAAGATCCCAAATAGGCTGTAATGTAGGAAGAGCTCCGCATGATTAAAAAGAATCAGACTTGGGAGGATGTGGAAAGGCTAGAACACATGAAGGTGATAGGTGTCAAGTGGCTGTTTAGAATAAAACTATATGTAGATGGCGTTATCAGCAAACTCAAAACAAGGCTTGTGATAAAAGGGTATGCTCAAATTTTTGGTGTGGATTTCTCTAACACATTTGCTCTTGTTGCAAGGCTAGATACAGTCAAGCTGCTACCATCTATTGTAGCACACAAGGGTTGGAAAATCTTCTAGCTTGATGTGAAGTCAACAATTCTAAATGGAATTTTAGAGGAAAAAATCTATGTTGAGCAACCTAAAGGCTTTACTGAGAAAGGGCAAGAGAACAAAGTTTGTTTGCTAAAAAAGGCCTTCTATGGTCTGAAATATGCATCAAGGGCTTGGTATAGTAGGATTGATGAGCATTTATAGCAGTCTCATTAGGTGCCTAATGTACCTTACAACTATAAGGTCTGACATTCTGTATGCTGTGAATGTCTTGTCAAGATTCATGCATTGTGCAAGTGAAGTGCATTTCAAAACAACAAAATATGTTATGAGATATGTCAAAGAAATTATGGATTATGGAGTTAAGCTCTGTTATAGTCAGAATTTTAATTTTCGTGGGTATTTTGACAGTGATTAGGTAAGGTCCATAGATGCCATGAAGAGCATTTCAGGATACTGTTTCAATTTTAGCTTAGCAGTGTTCTCTTGGTGTTTTAAGAAGTAGGAGACTGTGGCTCAATCAATCGTTAAGGCAGAGTTCATTGTTGCCATAACAGTTGTGAATCAAGCCTTATGTTTTTGGAAAGTCTTGAGTGATGTTCAGATAGAGTAGAAGTAGAGCACAAATGTGTGTTGACAATCAAGCAACCATTGCAATCTCCAACAATCCCGTCTTCCATGAGAAAAACAAACACTTTAACATCAAGTTGTACTTCTTAAAGGAAGTGTAGAAAAATGGAGAAGCATGTATGTTGTATTGCAAAACTAAAAATCAACTTGCTGATATTTTTACAAAAGCACTTCCTAGGAGGAGGTTCAAGTATTTGAGAGAGAAGTTTGGAATCTGCAACTATTGAAGCAAGGAGTAGTGTTGCAAATATGCCTCAGCAGTTATTGACTATATAGAAGTTGCTGATTAGGCAAGCTTTGGTGGTTGCACATGTTGTATTTTAAAGCTTCGACTTATTCTTATAGTTTTTGTTATGCATTTTCTTTAGTTGCTAAAGAGTAGTTGTTCAAGCTTAGATCATGTTCTACATCATGTTATCATGTTTTTTTTTTTTTTTAATGGGTTAGATCATGTAATCATGGTTAGTTTTATTGTTTTTTTCAGTTATAATTTTTTTATAGTTAAGCACATTTTGATTCAATGAAAATAT